TTGTTCGTTAGGTCATTTTTATGGGCCCGCTAAATTTTAGGAGATTCGGGGCCGGTCGCCCGGATGCATGCAAATGGTATGGACTATAGCATTGAAAATTTGGAAATCATCATAATTCTTATTTTATGGACTTGAAATACCAAAAAAGGAGGAACGGTCATGCTAGATCTATGACTATTATTCGTTAAGTCATTTTTTATTGGCTCGCAAAATTTTAGGAGATCTAGGGTCGGTCGCCCGGATGCATGTGACGTGGAGCACACGAAAAATTAAGAATCATCCTGAATTCCTGTTTTTTGCCCTAAACGGCAACAAGCGAGGAACAGTCATGCCGGAGCGATGACTATTGATCGTTAGGTCATTTCTATGGGCCCGTAAAATTTTAGGCGATTCGAGGCCGGTCGTCCGAATGATGCGGATGAATTTGACACATGAAAATCTGAGAAACATCCCGAATTCCTGTTTTTGACTCTAACGCCAAAAAATGAGGAACGGTCATGCCGGAGCGATAACTATTGTTCATTAGGTCATTTCTGATGGGATAGTAAAATTTTAGGCGATACGGGACCGGTTCCTCGGATGCATGCAGATAGCATGGACTATAGCACACGAAAATTTGAAAATCGTCCTGAGTTTCTATATTTTTGCCCTAAAATGCCAAAATACGAGGAACGGTCATGCAAGAGCGATGACTATTGTTCGTTAGGTCATTTTATATTATCCCGCAAAATTTTAGGAGATTCGGGGCCGGTCGCCAAATGCATGTAGATGACGTGGATCGTCTCAAATTCGTGCTTTACGCCAAAAAATGAGGAACAATTATGCCGGAGCGATGACTATTGTTCAATGGGTCATTTTTTATGAGCCCACAAAATTTTAGGCGATTCGGGACCGATCATCCCAATGCATGCAGATGTCGTGGACTATAATATACGAAAATCTGGGAATCGTCCTAAATTCCTATTTTATAGCCATAAAACGCCAAAAATTAGGAACACTCATGTCGGAGCGACGACTATTATTCGTTAGGTCGATTTTGATGGGTCCAAAAATTTTTAGGCGATTCGAGGTCGGTCACTCGGACGCATGCAGATAGCGTGGACTATAATAGCACACGAAAATTTGGGAATCGTCTTGAATTCCTATTTTCTTGCCCTAAAACGCCAAAAAATGAAGAACGGTCATGTCAGAGCAATGACTATTGTTCGTTCGGTCATTTTTTATGGGCCCACAAAATTTTAGGAGATTTAAGGTCAATCGCCTGGATGCATGCAAATGGCGTGGATTATAGCACAGAAAAATCTGGGAATCGTCCTGAATTCCTATTTTTGAGCCCTAAAATTTTGCAGACCCACCAAATGCACCAATATGTCTATGTGTAGAATTGAGTACTAGCACAGGTGATAAATGCTATGGTCCATTCAATGGCTTCAACAGGTAAATTGTTGAATGTCTTAATTGAACTGATTTTAGCAAATTAAAATGTCGGTAGACAATGTATTTTTTCTGGCAAACCAAATCACTTACCTACAGTGCCTGCAATAGTAAGAAACTTTTTTTTTAAGCTCCAAGACAACTGATTTTTTTTAATGACGGTGATTTTTGGGTCAGCGTGCGCCCGACTCGATTATTTCACCAGGTATTTATTACCTTCCACCAACACAAGTATTATGTAACTTTATTCTCCAAAACTTAAGTAGATAAGAAGTAACCAATCACCTACTGTGTTTTGCCTCCGAAGAGAGGCTCAAGACAACTAATCCTTTTCTATGATGGTGATATGTAGGTCAGTTTGTGCCCATCTCAACTATTTTATCGGGTATTTATTACCTCCCACCAACACAAATATCATATAACTTTGTCCACCAGAGCTTACCATGCAAATATCCATTTTCTTCTTTCAGTATCTCTACTTAATGTGTCATTGTCCCAAAATGGTAAGTTGGAGCATTTCATCATAAACATACTTATCATTATTAAAGAATGGGCCATGACTAAATATTTCTCATGGATTTTGGCATTTTGCATTCGCCACTTAGTTCATACAAAGGCAAGAAGATTAGCAGCCACCGACAATAAATCAGTTGAAAATCTTGACCACTGACGAACTTCAACTTTTTATAATGAAGAAGCTGCCATGCTGACATACAAATAAACCTAAACTAAGCAGAAAAGCTGCTACAACAGAGAGAATGAAGACGTCGGTTTTTTTCCCACCGATGTCTGATAGCCGCTTTGTAGCCCCGACTGATCCGAATTCGTGTCATGTAAGGCCCATTAAGGGTAGCGCTCTCTACCAGTAGTTTTTTCAGAGACGTTGGTTGAGAGAGCATATCTTACTGCAACATTCACCTACTAAGAATATGGTAAAGCTTCAAAGCAACTCATCATATACAATGAACTTGTACTTCCTATGAGGGAAAAATATTGAAACTTTTATGTTGCATAAGGTATTAAACCAATAAGGCATCACTTATAGAAAACTTGCAACAATAAAATTTACTGCACAGCATCATAGTTGTAGCCAAAGCAACTTACTCTCTTGACAGCAACGGCAGGAATCATATTTTATATAGCATATAAAACAAAAATAAGGCTGACATACCGAAACCAAAACTGGCTGAATCACGAATCCATCTGGTTAAACTGCAAACTTCACTTCATGTTGATCGAAGCAAACAAACTCTGAGAAATATTCCAGTTTGTAGCTTACTTTTCTGATAACAAAAAAAAAAAGGATCAATAAAGTAGAACACTTGCAGAGTAGACTTGTTTGAAATAGGGCAAGCAAACAAGCACCATGTTCCAAGAGAGAATGAACATGATAGCTCCAGAGATACATAATATAGAAATTTGAAACAAACAAGTCTATGATTGGACCTACACATACTCATATACAATACATTAGTAATAACAAAATTCAGAAACAGCAGACAAAAGAGTGAAGCTTCAAGGACAACAGCTGGGGCAACGAATTAATCCATTTTCATTGCAGCGCGGGCACTTCCTTGACTTCCCTTCCTCCAGTTCATACAATTTCCGGCTTCCATTGCAACCAGGACATAGTACAAACCTCGCCTCACCACAACTTTCACAAGTGAATCCATCGTCCTTAACCGGAAACCCTTCCGAAAGCTTAGCCAATTCTCCAGTCTCATGAAGTCGTTTAATCTCATCTACACCACCAATGTACTTCCCTCTAATAAACACCCGTGGCAAGCTCACTGCTTTACCTTCCAAAACATCTCGTAACTCTTTCCTATACGACGAATCCATAGAGATATCCCTTTCATCTACACATACTCGATACCCTTTAAAGATCATACGCACAGAGCAGCAATCTTCATAAGTCTTCCTAATTCCCCTCAAACTAGTATAATACAGAACAATCCTGTCCTCAGTACCCTTTAAGTAGAAATCACTACTAAGCAACAATGAGCTCAGAGACCTATCCACAGACCTAACTATGTTGGATTCTTGATGCTCAAATTGTTTCGAAGACAATGCTTTTCGATAACTTAAAGCTACATTAGGATCCATTTTAGCCAACAATGATTCCTCAGACAAATGCTTCCACAATGGCTTCACATCATGAGCATTACTATTACACTTGAACTTTCTAGGAGAGGGAGACTCTTCGACATGGGACTGAACCATACGAAAATCTAAGTCATCAAGGCCTTCCATGAGCTCCCAAGTGTTGATTACTGAGTCAGGAGATAAGAGGTCTTGCGGATCACCCTCATTGTGGCATTTCATCAAACAGGTGGTGGGATTGTCTGGAACTTGAGGATCAAGCAACCCATAGGTAGAGGAAGTAAGTGAGACTAAGTGGTTTGTGTCCCCTTTACAAAGGGGTGGGTGGTGAACTAGAGGAGTAGGTAAGGACAGGGTTCTTGAAACTGGAGTTGAAGAAGAATCAGAGTAGGAATACGTGGAATGTGTAGAAGAAAATGAGTTTGATGGGTTTTGTGGATCTTTGGTGACAAAGTTATAGGAACGAGAAGCAGAACAACCCATGAATGGAAACACAGAATAACACAAAATTGATGAAATTTTGTGCAGATTGAACAAGAAAACAAGAGAATTTTGTAAAGGGTGGTGGGTTGGGATTTTAGGCAGTGATTAGTCTGCTTATTATTAGTTTGAGCTTTACAAATTACAAAAGCTTCTCAAATGGCTGCAAATTTTGACGTAATTTGGTAAAACTCATTTGTCCATATACTACTAGTAGTTTTTGATAATGACTCTGGTTACAACATCTAGCAAAGTTCAAGTTGGCACGGTTCATCAACATACCATTAATGTTTCTTTAAATTTTGAGTAAATGTGTTCCACTTGTATCTTCCTTTCGTGTACATTTAATGCTCGATAATTATCAAGAACAGACAGATATGTGAGGGGATAGCTGGTGTATGAGACACATGTATACTCACCCGTCTCAAATTATCTGTCATGATTCTCTTGTACGCGTCCTTAATTGATGTCTTAATATTTAATCTTTCTTCATTGGTATTTGAACAAAGTTATCCATAATTGATGTGTTTGTAGTCTTTAAAGATAATATTACTAAGGGTAAAAAAGGAAAAAAATAATCGACTTTTATCTTGAACTTTTAAAATAGTAACAAATAATTTGAAACAACTATTTTAGTAATCACGACTGACAGTATGAAATGGATGCACTAATATATATATATATATATATATATATATAAGCCATGCCCAAAGCAATAAAAGAATTCAAGAAATTAAGACTTAAAGTTCGTGATTAGAAAAAAAAAAGTGATCAAGGAGGAGGAAAGCACCATATATATATCATAATCAATTCGGTCGTTGTGATCGGACTCTATTGTATAAATTCATGAGAACATGATCACCATACATTACTTCGATTATCATACATAATATATATATATATATATATATATATATATATATATATATATAATTGTAGTTTCACATACTTACTACGTCCAAGTAGCTAGTACAATCCTCATCACTTCTTTTACCAAAATAGAAAGTACACAGACTATTCCACAAAGAATCACACTCAGGGAATGTGGTATAAACCGCCTACCCTGACACAAGCATTAGTGATTGACCTATATTCTCACAAACTCCATCTTTTTTCACAAAGTTAATAACCTAATATACAACTTCAAGAGATGGGTAATCAGTGTAACCTACAACTGGATCATTCCTATAGAAACTGCTCCTATCATGCTTGTTCAATGGTGCATTCACTTCAAAACGCTTCGGTAAATCAGGATTCGCCAAAAACAAACGTCCAAATGAGACCAAATCTGCATAACTTTCAGCTATAGTTTCATCTCCCTTAGTTTTATTGTAGCCACCAGAAGCAATAACTGTCCCCTCAAAAGCCATTCTAAATGATTTGAGGCAATCATGATGTTCTTCCCTCGGCTCGAACACATGAAGATATAAAACTCCAAGCTTAGTGAGTTCACTAGCCAAATAAGTCGCCAGAGCTTCTGGGTTCGAGTCCTTTTTTCCGTACACTTCAGAGAAAAGAGAGAGTTTTACACCAACTCTATCTGCTCCAATTTCATCCACAACTGCTCCTATAATTTCAAGAGCAAGTCTACAACGGTTCTCAATGCTTCCACCATATTCATCTGTTCTGTCGTTGAATTGATCATTCAAGAATTGATCGATTATGTAGCTGTTTGCTGAGTTGATCTCGACTCCATCAAATCCTTCAATATGAGGAATACTAACATGTTAATAAGTCACCATTCATCAAGTAAAAATTGTGGACAATAACTAACTTTTGGTCTATCTTTGCTCTAAAATGTCAAATGTCCTGAAGTTGTTAATGAATGGATAACTCACCAGCTTTAATGGCATTGCGAGCTGCAATTCTGAAATCATTGACAATGAAGGGGAGTTCAATTGCGTTTAGTTGCTTTGGTGTTGGTCTGAAGTACTCGCTGTCGTCAGGTACTACACATAGTAAAGAACCATTAGTAATTATAAGGAAAAAAACCATATATGTAAAAGAAAATTTATTGTTTTATATTCCACTAATTATATATGTTAAAGAGAGTGGATCATGGTTGTAATTCAATCAAAAAAACAAGCTCAACTGAAGCTAATTGTCTAACACTATATAAAGCGACTACATCCCATATCAAATCAGATGGTGAATACATGGGGATTCATCATTGGTTAGGGCTTTCGAATCAAAGCATGGGCATCTGCTATTAAGAGGAAGCAGTAGATCGTCAATTGAAGAGCCAGGTCAGTAAACTTCTATTGGGACTTCTATTTATTATTAGTTCGACTCTAGGGACTCCTAGCAGCAAACTAATCTAAAAAAAGGGGGCCCCATAGAGAGGCACGGGAGCCGCCCGCCGCCAGCCGAATCGACCAACACATGATAGGCTAGAGAGATGGGCTCATTCGACAAATCAGTGATCCCTGGGCCTACCTAACACAAATGTCCCTGAAATAGGGGATTGGTTGATCGGAAAGCTCAAGCAGGAATAGGACATTCCATACAAAGCTTTTTGATCGGCAAGCTGGTGGCCTCTCCTTAGAGTCAAGTGGCTTTCAGCTCCTCTCAAATCCCATTTTTTCATCGACGGGTAGGATGAATTCTAAGTTTCCTTATTCCGGTTGTAAAGCGCACAATTAGGATTGGACATCTAAAGCACTGATAACATAATATAAAAGTCCAAGATCAGGTAGCTCAATATCAAGAATGTGTGTGGCTCTGATATATACTATGTTTAAAGAAATGATTTTGTACCTAACTAAACTTAACTTAAGAGACGAGGATTGTCTAAGATCATATGAAGAGACCATAATGAATTAATGATTAGTCTCAGAAAACATTATCAGTATCTAGCAGTATATATAATCAAAGTTTAACGAATTTATTACCTGCATTCCAAGCTATAAGGAAATTGTTGAGGCTTGAGTCAGTTAGCCGCCCTGGATGCCAAAGCTGACAAAAAAAGATACCACCTTTGCCATGAACAGATTCAACAATGGGTTTCCATGCCTCTGTTTGATCTTCTGTCCAAATTCCAGGCATATTTGGGGACCTTCAAATACAACAATAACAAAAGTCTCAATTTCAAGATAGTACAGGTCGGCTTTATGAATCATTAATATGCATTTCGTTCCGTTTGAATCCATGTTATTTCAATATAATATGCTTTACTAATATAAAAAAAAAAAAGGCAGCGCGGTGCACAAAGCATCCCGCATTTAGGCAGGATCCGGGGAAGGGACACCCCCTAGGGGTGTGATGTAGACTGCCTGCTCTAATGCAACCATTAGTGGCTTCTTCCACGACTCGAACCCGTAATCTATAGGTCATTACTATTGCTCCAAGGTTACCCTTCAATATGCTTTACTTATATTGCAGAAAAATAAATGCAGAGGAAAATTAACTCCTTACCCTTTGGAGATGTCAGAAGCACTAGTTGATTCAGAAATGAGAAAACCGCCATTAGTGGCTCTTTGAGAATAGTATTCAATTGCATGTGGTTGTGGAGTATTATTGTATGATCTGTTCCTTGTCATTGGTGGCATCACAACTCTGCATATCATAACATAATACAATAATATGTCTCAATCAGCGGCAAAGCCAGGAAATGGGGTTTTGAACACCATTTGCCAGTGAGCTATGCAAGGGTGTTCAAAATTTATATTTTAATCAATAACAAGTAATATTTTATCCTTTACATAGTATAATTTTTCGGCAAAGAGTGTTCAGTTAACCATCCTTAGTCATACATAGTTTCGCCCGTAACCTCAATGGTTCTATATATCATGCAAAAGAAAAAAAAAAAAGATAAACTAAGAAGCAATTAATGTATGTAAAGTGAAATATTCTATATACACAGTACCTATGAGAGAGCTCAAAACTTCCCATTTTGTAAGGAGTAAGGAGAGGAACTGAGGTGGACTTTGCTGCCATTTCTCAAATGATCTTCTTTCTTATTTGCTTCAGAAAATTAAAGTAGCAAAAATATCCAAATTTATAGACAAGTTTGGTCAATATTTAAATGTGTATTCTCTCTAATAATTATGCAACTTTGAAGGGCTACTAACAATATATATATATATATATATATATATATATATAGTCATGATGGGCGAAGGTACATAGCCCTAAGTTTGGTCAACTGACCACCCTTTGTCTGAAAATTATATTATATATATAGGTAAAATATTAAATTTTAATGATATATAAGATATATTAAACACCCTTTATCGGAGATTTTTTTTACTTATTTTAAGTTTGAACACCTTAAATGAAATTTTTGACGTCAAGTAAGTTAAGTTATGACCTCTGCAACTTGGGGGGAAAAAGTATTTGTATGACAACTTGGAAACACTTCTGAATAGTTGACCTGATTCAGAGAATATAAAAAATGCTTGATTTTTAAGTGTATTTTACCATTTCAAGAATTGCGTCAAATAAAGTGTCCTATCCAACTAAGCCACAACAATTTTCTTTTCTTTTTGCGTAATAATAAGTGAAGTTTGTAAAAGGGAGTCTTGGAGTAACTGATAAAGTTGCTGTCATGTGACCAGGAGGTCACCGGTTCAAGCCATAGAAACAGCCTCTTGCAGAAATGTAGGGTAAAACTATATACAATAGACTCTTGTGGTCCACCCTTATCCGGACCCGCGCACAGCGAAAGCTTAGTGCACCGAACTTATTTGCGTTCTCGAAACGAAGGACAAAAGCATGAGCCCCAAAGTCCAAGCTCGTACAATAATTATGTAGCATGCAGATAATATCAGATTAAATATTTTAACACAAGTTGAAACTTCAATTTAGACTGTACTTATCTGGAGCTGTATTATAACAGAGAGGGTGCCCCACCGACATAGAGATTTGCTATTTACACGTTCCAAATATGGTACACACTTGATCGATTTGACTATTTTGAATTTTTATTCGAGTTATTCGTCTTTTCAATTTATATAAACAACATGATATATTATAGTATGTATTCCGTTTTTCATGTAAAAATAGCACGGTATAGCTAGTTTTCGGACTGGTCATTCAAAAATAGTCAGTGTTTACAAAGTCAATGAAAAATAGCCACTATTTTGCTGCAACAGAGACCGGTCCAGCATAATATACTGGATTTCGGTGCACCTGTGTATGAACTCCAGCATATTATGCTGGACCGGTATACTTTGCTGACTCCATTATTAATATACTGGAGACTGGAGCACTTGTGCTCCAAACTCCAGTATATTATACTGGACAATTATACTTGCTGAAACTCCAGTATATTATGCTAGAGTTCTAGTGTACTTATGTTGGAACTCCATCATATTATGCTGGAGTTCCAACATACTTATCCTGGAACTCCAATATAATATGTTGGAGTTCAAGCATACTTATACTTGAACTCCAGTATAATATACTGGCGTATTTTTCGGGTTTTGAACAATATTTTCGCTCTTTTTTATCTTTACATGAAAAGTGGCTAAATTTTGATTACTTTTGAAACTGAACTATTTTTGAATGATCAGTTGTAAATCTGACTATTTTTGAATTTCTCCTGAATACTGACATATTGCTGCTTCTTTTTTTTTTGTTTGGCCCACTAAAAATCAAAGACACATATATAGATCTTTTCCTTTCATTGTTTTATTATATATGTGGGGGAAAAATCCACATTCAAGTTATACTTTATATATATTATACTTTAATTTACATGCATGAGGGGCGACTGATTAAACAATAGAAAGATTCGACAGTATATAATTGACTTATAATATGAAGAGCAAAGTTGCTAAAATCAGTTGCAGTATACTGACAAAATCTTCAGCAAGAAAAGGTATCTTCATTATCATTCTTTGTCGTCTCGAGAGGAAAATGTAGTATTATATTGGCAACAAGTGGTGAAAAATGCACATATACCATAATAAATCATCTAAACTTTGAACGCTCCTCCTTCTCTCTTCTTTCTCTCTCTAGCTGCGATGAATAGTAGCGACGCAACAGTTGACCGGCAATAACTCCATATTCCGGTAGTGAAAATTCACCAAATTGGTCTCAAAAGAAGCGTCTTCTCATTGCGCACAATCCCCAATCGTTTTCATCCTCAAATCCATAGCCATCTACTACAGATTTGAAGATAAACGTAGTAGGTACTGTAGCGCAAAAGCTTCAGTTCTCGTTTTCTCTTTACCGACAACAATGGGCAGTTAAGCAGCTATGAACGTGCATCTATCTCCCACACATTTAGCTGTGGGCGAACCACCTCCAGCAGCTGTAAAGAGTGACCAAACTAATAACATACAACATAATTGTTGAATCAAAAATTGCTACAACACCTCCAGCAGCTGCTCAATTGTCCCAACAAAAGGCAGCTGCTACTTTGAATCAAAAATTGTTGAAACCAATTGAAATTATTCATGGCGTCCCAACAATCAAGTTTTCAATGGAGGAAAGGATGGAATTCGCAAAAGAAGAAGGTTTACACCAACTAATAGCATTAAGAAATGTACTGCCGAAACTGTTCGGAATCAAAGAACCATCTTTGATTGGTCAACTCGCACCTCGACAATTGCTTATCATGGTGGATCAACATGAAGACTTCGTTAATTCACTTGTGAGGTCAGTTAACTACTTCAAATACAATGGTAAGGAGCATCAAATCCGAATATTTCCATGGTCCCTTGATTTTAAGGTAAATGAAGAAACGACGAAAGCAGTGGTCTGGATTTCATTGCCTAATCTGCCAACGGAACTTTTTGCAATGAAGGCTTTATTGTCAATAGCTTCAGTTGTTGGAAAGCCTATAGCCATAGACAAAGCTACCCAGACTAAGTCGCGTCCTAGTGCTGCAAGAGTTAAAGTGATTCTTGATTTAATGGACAAATTACATGATAAGTTGTTTTTGCAATTTGTGGATAAACAAACGGGCAAGATTGTTGAATTCTTTCAAGATTTTGTTTATGATAACTTACCATTGTATTGTAACTGTTGCAAACATCAAGGACATGATGAAAAAACATGTCACAGATTAAATAAAAATACAACAAGGAACGTGCAATGTCATGAAGAAACTGTTGATATTGATCGTATAATGCCTGCTGAAGTTTTGGCTTTGGCTGAGGAGATGAGTAAGGTGGAAAAATTACAAGGGGATGCCAGGGATTATTTAATTGCTAAGTCGCAGCAAAAAACTAATGCATCACTTCATGCCGATATTCCAGTTGATCGATCTCTAGCTAGAGTTTCCAATGCAGTGAATTTGGTTAGGGAAACAATGCTGATGAAGGAGACTGGTCAGGTTGTTAGTGCTGGAAATGTTGATGAAGGAGTAGTATTTAATGGTGGTGTAATAGCTCCAGTTGAAGCAGCCTTATACAGGATTTCTGAGGAGTTGCAAGTAGATGCACATGCTGTTAAAGATCCCAAGAATAATCGTGTTGCACCTGGGCAATTTCTACCGGAATTAACAAAACCTACTGCTGCAATTTCTACAAGGGTCCCTAATACTAAAGTTGCTGCTCTTGAAGCAGCTGTCCAAACACCTAGTATAGATGTTGCTGGTGTTAGAGGATCTGGTGTTAAAGAGGTTGGGCAATCTTGTAAGGGCCAACGGCAAGAAAAGGATCAACAAGTAACACAAGCAGAAATTTAAAAAAATGAAGCTAATAAAGGAGGAGAGACAACTGATCGTGGAGCTTTGAAACCTACTGTTGTTCTGAAACATACTGTTGATCCAGCAGTAATTGATCCCAAGTTTAAAAGTGCTGGGCAGTTGGAGGTAGTTGCTGCACAAAAATCTGATGCTCAGGGTGTGCAAAATGCAAAAGCTGGAGATTGGTCTGTGGTGCATCGATCACATCCATCTCCAAACAAAGCTACAGCTGATCTTGTTTAGAATAATGCAGCAGTAGCAGGGGTTGAGGTTCCTGTCATAGCTGGGGATTCTATAAGGTCTGGCTCAGAGCAACTTCATGGTAAAACTGGGCACCAAACACTGAATGCAAATGCAGGGCAGGTATTTCTTTCATCAAGCACGACTGATGCACCTAATACTCAACAGCAATTTTCATCAAATCAAAACAATTGGACAGTGGTGAGTAAATCACCTAGCAAGAAGCAAACTCCAGCTCTTCAAAATCAGATTATACCATCAACAGTCATTGGAGTCGCGAACTCTTTTGATGCATTGGTCAATGAGGGTGATGAGACACAATCAGTTGGTGGAAAAACAAGAGTTACATGCAATGTAATTCAGCAGAAAAATGCAAAGGACTTAGCTGCTAGACTTGGGACTGCAACAGATAAATATCACTTTGATGAGCAAAGTCAAGTACCTGATGATCCTACAACAACAATGCACATTTCCAATACAGAGCTAGATAAAATGGTAGAGAATGCCCATGCAGCTATGATGATCAACACAACTCCAAAATTGGGGTAGCCACAAGCTCGAGGCTGTAACACACAACAGCAAAAGTTCAAAAACACAGGTGAACGACTCATTACTTCGAAGGACAATGTTCCTGTTGATGCGCAAAATGCAGAGGTACACAGCTCCAATGCACCTACATTGCACTTCTCCAATCCACAGGTTGAACAAATCATTAAAAATGTTAAAAAAGAAATGATGATGAACAATCCCATGGTCAGACAACCTTTGGTCACCTTAAACAAATCTATTTTTGAGGTTCCTTCGCAGTCAATGGAATCTTGTGGAGGGGTTGAAGGTGAAACTGGGCTACTTATGTTATCAACGGGGAATAACAATGAAGTTACACAAGGAAATTTGAGGTTGATGGCTATCAAGTCCAAACTTTGGCTAGATCAACGGGATGATGATGATGATGAAGAGGATTGGGGAGATGGTTTTGCTGGTTATTCATCAGAAGAAGCTGAGCGTGAGGCTAATCATGATAGTGCAGGTGAGGAGATTGATTCCTTAGCGATGGTAAAATCTGAAAGAATGCCAGCAGCCAGTCCAATGAGCAATTTGAACTCCAATGCTCCTGCTTTCATTCCCAGAAGTCCGTCATCTCCAGCTATTCAAAATGCAGTAGCTGGAACACCTACAACTACTGTGCAGCAGCAACAAGTTATTCCCAACACTTCAAATGTTACTCATACTGCTGCTACTCATCTACGTGATCGAGAAGTCACAACAACAAATTCTGGACAGAATCAAATTGTTACAACCATCCCAGATATTTCAGAGGAGGAAAGAAGACTCTTGGATGCAATGGTGAGTTCTAATCCATTAAATCCTGTAAATCCTACTGCTTCTAGCATCGGAGTGTTGAGTATGAGCAGGAACAAATTGCAAAAAATAGAACAACATCAAAGCAAGGCAATGGCGACAAATACACAAGGTCAATCTGCATTGGAGACAATTGTTATCGACCAAAA